GACAGAAAATTGAAAAGACCCATCTCAAAAATAACCAGTAGCCGGGTGCCTGTGGCTCATGCCTGTATTCCTAACTACTCAGGAGGCTGAGATCTAAAGATTTAGGTTTGAAGTTAGCCTGGACAGGAAAGATCATGACACTCTTGTCTCCAATTAGTCACCAAAAAGCTGTGGCTCAAGTAGTAGATCAACTACCCTGGAACAAAAAAGCTAAAGGAAAGCACCCAGGCTGGGAGTTCAGGCCCCATGCTGGCAAAACAAATACAATGTTTGCTTATTGCAAATGCACTCAGAACATTTTCTTTTCAGAAGTTCAAGGCTTAGTAGACAGTATGTGAAACCCACACTTGGGACTTACATCCTAAGTTTTAATCCAAAAATCCCTGGGCAGTATGCTTTAGCTTTTTTGCTCAAGGTTGGCACTCTACCATTTGAACCACAGCACTACTTTTTTGGGAAGAGGGGTTAGCTGAAAATAAGAGTCTCACAGACTTTCCTGCCTAAGAAGAGTTTGAATTGTGATTCTCAGATCTCAGTCTCTTAGTAGCTAGGATTTGAGGCTTGAGCCACAGGCCACACTATCTTCCTTTTTGTAAAGAAAATTCCAAGAAGCATTTATAAAAATCAAGGCCAAACACAATAAAAGAGCTAGAAACAAATGCTTTTGAATTTATTGTAGCAGAACCAATAAGGTACAAAAAATTCAAAACAGTGAGAAAGAAGGTACACTTCTGACATCAGGTTAATGCTATAATCAAACAGCAGGTAAAACTTCTCAAACAGCAGGTAAAACTTCTGAAGTAAAGAAAGGATAAATGTGTGGAAATGTAGGAATAAAATGTACCCTGTTGGAATGACTAATATAAGCTAATAAAGACAAAAAAATTGAACTACAAAAAAGATTAACAGAATAAAGGTATCAGGGATAATATATTCAAATCAAAAGCCCAAGAAAAATATTCAAAGTGGTGAGAGCTTATTTACAACTACAATCAACATTTTTGAAAGTATGAAGCAGCAAAATCTTGTGTTCACCAGCAGATTAATAGATAAATGAAATGGTAAATTTGACGAGAATCATTTATCCTTAAAAAGGAAAAGAATTCTGACACTGGCTATAAGATGAAAGATTTTATGTTCAGCTAAATAAGATTATTAGCCTATATATAATGCATAATTGGGGTTATATGTAATATACAATTATAAATAAGTCAGAATATAAAAGACAAGTATTGTAGGATTCTTCTTTTACCCAAGACACCTAGAATAAACAACTCATAGAGAAAGTAGAATAGTGGTTGTCAGAGGTCTAGGGTAGAGGGAATGGGAAGTTAAATGTTTAATGTGTAGAGAGTTTCAGCTTGATTAAAAACTTTAGATAAAAAGAAGTATGAAAGATATAAATATAAAGAAATCAAAGAAAAACATACAACAGACAGTTGGAACCATCAGCTGCACTGGACATCAATCAAAATGAACTAAGCAACTCAATGGCAGCGATGGGAGGGAGGGAATGAGTGGGAAAGACGGAACAGCTGACACTGTGCAAAAGGAGCTGACACTGTGCAAAAGGAAAGAAATGTACACATCACCTGATGTGGAAGAAATAACTGTATTGTCAAAGTTCATAGAACTCATAAATTTTATAGACCATGATAGACAATTTGCCCCAGGAAAGTTAGAATGTGCTTGTGACATTTTTTTAGTTGAAAATATCATTTTATTTTTTTTATTTTTAAAATTTTTTTTGCCAGTCCTGTGTTTGTGACTTTAAGCATTCACTATCCAACAACACTGTGAAATTTGTGAAATTATGTAATCACTTAAGCACAATAAAGAATTTGCAAAGAAAAGAAATTCAATATGCTGTACACTAACATACCGAAATAAACACAATAAACATACAAATGAGAACATTTATCACATGCTCCAAATAGTTTTTTTCAGAAAGGAAAACTATTTAATTGCTTTGAACACTGTAATACAGTAGTACTTAAAATAATGTGGTATTGTCAGTAAGGCAGCATTATAGCATAAAAATGTACCAAACTAATCCAGGCACCGGTGGCTCATGCCTGTAATCCTAGCTACTCAGGCAGCTGAGAACTGAGGATCATGGTTTAAAGCCAGCTGGGGCAGGAAAGTCCATGAGACTCTTGTCTCTAATTAAACACCAAAAAACGAGAAGTGGAGCTGTGGCTCAAGTGGTAGAGTGCTCACCGTGAGCTGAAGAGCTCAGGGACAGTGCCCAGGAACAGAATTCAAGCCCCATGATATACAAAAAAATAAGTACCAAACTAGTAACAATTTGTCAGTTCAAGTTCCTTTGTTCTTTCAATAGCCAATATATGACTCTGGGGGTAGTAACTGTTACCCTATTGACTTCAGAATGAGTCTCAATAATGCTTAAATGAGATTAATACAACATAAATATGCTTTGTAGGCTATCTTGCTATCTTGTATATTATGTGAAGAAAAATCATTGGATCACATATTTTATTTTATTTTATTTTTATTTTATTTTATTTGAGAACATACTGTACAGAGGGGTTACAATTACATGGGCAGGATAATGCATACATTTCTTACCAAGCATTGCAGCCTCCTCCTTTGTGGATCACATATTTTAAAGCCTTCCCTATTCTAGTTTTTTTTTTCTTCTTTTTCTGTGCCAGTCCTGGAGCTTGAATTTAGGGCCTTGGCGTTGTCCCTGAGCTTTTGTGTTCAAGGCTAGTGTTCTGCCACTTGAACCACAGCTCCACTTCTGGATATTTTGTTTTTGCTTTTGTTTTTTATTTTTTGCTAGTCCTGGGGTTTGACTCAGGGTCTGGGCACTGTCTCAGAGCTGTTTTTGCTCAAGGATAGCATTCTACCCCTTTGAGCCACAGCCACTTCTGGCTTTTTGTTTATGCGGTACTGAGGATTGAACCCAGGGCTTCATGCGTGCTAGGCAAGCACTCTACCACTAAGCCACATTCCCAGCCTCCAGGTGTTTTTTGAGTAGTTAATTGGAGGTTTCATGGGCTTTCATGCCTGGGGAAGCTTTTAACTGTGATCTTCAGATCTCAGCCTCCAGAGTAGCTAGGATTACAGGGATGAACCACCAGTACCTGGATCCCCTGCTCTATTCTTTGCTCTAATCTTATAAATTCTATTATTTTGTCAGTCATGGGGCTTGAACTCTGGGCCTGGGAGCTGTCCCTCAGCTCTTCAGCTCAAGGCTAGTGCTCTACCACTTGAACCACAGCACCACTTCCAGTTTTCTGAGTGGTTTATTGGAGATAAGAGTCTCACGGATATTCCTGCCTGGGGTGGCTTTGAACCATGATCCTCAGATCTCATCCTCCTGAGTAGCTAGGATTACAGTTGTGAGCCACTGGCACCTGGCTTGAAGGCCCTAAGTTTAAGCCATAGTATTGGCACACAAAAATCCTGGCACTAGAGCTATGGTTCAAGCAGTAAGAGTGCCAGTCGTGAGTGAAAATGGTGATCAAGAATGAGACACTGGGCTAGGAATGTGGCTTAGTGGTAGAGTGCTTCCCTAGCATGCATGAGGCCTTGGGTTGGATTCCTTGGTATCACATAAACAAATATAAATAAAATTAATTAAGAATGAGAAACCATGACTTGAAGCCCCAGTATGGGCACACGCACACACAAGCGCGCACACACAAAGCTGGGTGCCAGTTGCTCACACCTGTAATCCTAGCCACTCAAGAGGCTGAGATCTGAGGATCACAGTTCATAGTCATTCTGGACAATAAAGTCTGTGAGACTCTTATTTCCAATAAACTATTCAGAAAAAGCTGGAAGTGGGAATGTAGCTCAAGTAATAGAGTACTAGCCTTGAGCACAAGAGGCTCAGGGATAGCTCTCAGGCCATGAGTTCAAGTTGCAGGACTGGCAAAAAAAATGTGAAAACTATAAATAGTGATAACTCAACTATTATAACTTCTTACAAAGTAATCACACATAAAAGCCTCAAGATATTATACACAGAGGTATATTTAAATACTGAAATGCTGATCCTCTAAGGGAAAAGAACTCCTTAAATTAGTTACATGTGTTAAAAACATGGTAGAGCAATCTCTCTTGGTATGAAGTCTAAGTCAATGATTGCTCTCAACATACTCAAGTTAAATATTTCAAGTAAAGACCTATTTGTTATGCAAAAGAAACAAATTTGGGAAGGTGGCTCAGTGGTAGAGCACTTGCCTTGCATGCATGAGGCCCTGGGTTCGATTCCTCAGCACCACATAAGCAAAAAGAAAAAAAAGCCAGAAATGGTGCTGTGGCTCAAGTGGTAGAGCCTTGAGCTGAAGAGCTGAGGGACAGTGCCCAGGCCCAAAGTTCAGACCCCATGACCAGACCCCCCCCCCCAAAAAAAAGAAACAAATTTGAACCTCAGACTAAGTTGCTAGACTACAACCTGCTGCTCATTTCTAGGCTAAGGTGTATGTCTTACAGTTGAGCAGAAGAGATGACAAGCATAAACAGCAAGAAAAAACTGGCAAACAGCTTCTAATGAGGCAGACTAAATGCTGTAAAGAAGATCAGCTATCTTGAAGTGCTTCCTGTAGGTGGATAACACCAAAGAAATGAGATGTGAACTGAAATCATCTATGCTATAGCACTCCATTATAAATAAAACATCTATCATATCAGAGTATAGCTATCCAAATCTTTATCAAGTGTGAAACTCTGTGGTCTGATTATAAAATAGAATGTCTCAACTAACGAGGGAACTGTAATTAGAAAGAAACCAAAACTCCACTTCAGAAAGTAAAAACCAAGTCAGGCATGGTAGTTCACACCTGTGATCCTAGCATTTGGGAGGCACAGGCAGTTGAAAACCAACAGAGACTACATAGGGAGTTCCAGGCCAAGTCTAGATTATATAGGCAGCACCCTGTCTCAAAAACTGAAAAAAAGAAAAGAAAATCCATGACTCCTACCACAATTTATGTAATTCAAATTTGGTTGTCCATACAAGTACGTACCTGATAGAGTTCTTCTAAATTGTACTTAATCGAAGTACTATTCTGAATAGCTTCTACCGCTTCTTTCAGTTTCTGCCATGTTTCATCTGTGTAGTTTTCTGGTAATTTAGGCTTATCTAAATGATATGCAAAAGACTGGTATTAGAATAATGTATAGGCTATAGTAACTAAAGATACATAAAATCGAACAGCATTACTATTCCAGGCTCTTTGTAATTATTATGCTTAAATATTAAAATAAAAATTGTATTTAAGCTCAATATAAACAAAATTCAAATGGTAGAATACTCATTAAAATACAGAATACTATTAAAACTGAAGGTGAGGTTTTTTTTCTCTTATTGATTGCATTGCTTCAAAAAATAAAAATTCAAAAATGACAAGATAAAACATAACAATCCTGACTTATTCTATTGTGTATAAAACCTAAGCCAACATAAATCTTGTTCCTAAGATTTCAAATACTTCCATGTGTATTTTATAAAGTTATCTTCCCAACAATAAGATGCCTGGGTATATTAATACCATCATTTTTTAAGTAAGAAAACAGGCCAGGAACTCATTTAGTAAACTTGCTCAAGGTCACCATAGTCAATGGCAAAGGTGGAATTCTAATATAGGTCTATTTGCCCCCAAAATTTGTGCAGCAATTACAGAAATGTAGAAAACATCTTCGGTTTTAGACCTCATTGACAAGTACAATGAAATTTAAAACAATTTAAATCTTTAGATAACTTCAGAATCTATGCAGTATTCTCAGAATGGAAAGAGCCATCTTAGTCTTGACTTTAACTTCACTGGGCCAGCAATAAGTGAAAAAAACATTTAACTAAAGCATCCACATACTTAAATATGCTTTTACTTCCAGAGGAAGAGAAAAATAAACAAAAAATTTGAAATCGGTTTGCAAATGCAATTAGTATTACAGCTCATTTCTTTAAAAATCATTGGCTATCAAATCAATACAACTTTAAGTGAAATAATTAACACAGTCAATTATGATTTATAGTCACTTTAGCAAGCTCTAGTATTGAATCAAAAGGAATAATACTTATGAGCCTGGGGATAGAAAGGCAGTGATATAAAATATAAAGGGTTAAAAAATACCATAATCCTCTGCTTGAGACAAAATAGAGCACATTGATTGATTTCCACTAATGTTGAAAACACAAGCACAGAATACTTAATTTTCTCAATGTTAATATTTAGCCACAAGACACTTATCTAGTAGAGTGCTTCAGTTCATTCATTTGCTGTCCCATTTAATAAACATTTTAGCAACTACTACCTGCTAGTTTAGTGTTGAAAAAGTTAGAAAAACAGAAACATATAATAGATAAAAAATTAACTCAGCTGAAATTTTATTTTTTAAAGCAATGCGTTCATAATTCTTCAAGTGACATCGCAAACTCTATGAGCAAATTTTCCTAAAAGCTTCAGGTCAATACTTTAAAAGCTATCCTAGTGAAAAAAAATGTAGTAACTGTTCCTATCTTTAGAATAGTGTACAGAGAGTTACTACTTCTGTGTATACATAACATTTTTCACTTCCAATACCTATCTTTGGGGGAAAATGCAGAGACTGAAAACATTTTGTCCAAATACTGCTTCCAGGATGAGTTTCATAAATATAGTAGTCAATATTATAAATCTACTTATATATATTTCGAGCATAAAAAGATCACATCTGCATTTCTAAAGATTGAAGAATGTGGCCTACTGAAGCAGAAAAAAAAAATTAATGTCCAGGCTAAGTATGCACTTGAAATAAATAATTCTCTTTAGAATACAAATTTCTCACCTGTTAAATCCTGATCAATCATACTGTAGATTGTCAGTTACAAGGAATAACAAGTTAGATAGAATAGCCTGAGACAAATAGAAAAACACTCTACAGAAATACCCAGTGTTTGCTTCAGCAAAAGAATACAAACCACCCTCTTAAAAATGAACCCTCCACACGAAAAAAGGATTTCCCCTTCACCTCAATGATTATACATAAAACATTAGGCCACCTCTATACTGCTTAATATATTAACATAAAAGAGCACGTGACTACTCAAGTGTCAAATCCTTAGTAGGTGATTAGGGATTTTGGCCTTGGTTACCTTTAAAGTTCTTGATCACTAACTTCTTAGCAGAGCCAGGCTTGCTGTTAGCAAAACTAGAGACGGTGGTAGAAGATTTGGCTAGGCCGTTTGCATGATGCACCGAAGTCATAGAAGAAATTAATATACTCTTATTTTTAAGTTGCTGCTGCTGAGATGTAGCAGCAGTTGGTGAAGATGAGGAGGAGGAGGAGGAGGATTCCTCAGCCATCTTCGCATCAAACCCTACAAACTCCAGGGTGTCTTCAAAACGTAGCTTCTTCTGTATTGGTATGTGGCTAGAAGAAGCCACTGAAACACCTAGGCAGAAGGAGGAGGTTGAAGGGGATGCTGAATCCCTGGGTTGTAAGGGAGGAATGGATGAGAAGGAAGAGGAGCAATCAAAGTCTTCTCTCTCGTTACTACTATTAGTGCTGCTACTGCTGCTGGTGCTGCTACTGCTGCTGCTGCTGTTTAACTTTCTCTTCTTGGCAGAGGTGGGCGGAGTAGTGCTGGTATTACCATCAGTGGCAGATCTGACCTCCTGTGCAGCAGCAGCAGCTGAGGGATTGGGGGAAGAAAAACCTGTTGGAAACATGAAAATAGCGGGGTCAACAGGCAGAGGAGCATGAAAAATCTACGTTTATATATGCCTGCTTACGTGTAGGAAAGAAGGTGGCGGTATCAGAGGGGGAAGGGAAGAAAGAAGAGAGGAGAAACACAGAGGACGAGAAGGAAAGTGGGGGGGGGGGGCACAGGGGAATGGGAGGGTTTGGAAAGGCGGTTAGGCTGACACCCAGAGTGAGCAGAACGAAAGCAGAGAGCGAAGGAGGAGGCAGACAGGTAAACGGCCGTGCCGTCCCCCCTCCCCTGCTTCTCAATCTGTCTCTCCCCACTTTCTGCAGGAGCGACTCTGAGTCTGTGAAGCAGCAACTCCACCTCCGCCTTTTCTCCCTCTCCCTGGGAGGGGAGACGCTGTGGATGGGGGGGAGGGGGAGGAGGAGAGAACCGGGGCTTGTTATTGTCAATAGCACAAGAGGCTAAAGATGGCGCCACTTCCGGTCACGCGGCGCCGAGGGAGGGACGCTGTCTCTCCCCCACCCCACCCCCACCCCGGGCAGGGAGGGGGGAGGGGAAGGGTACAGTGAGGAACTACAGATGGGGTGGGGGAGAGCTGGCTCGTGGCGGGCCCGCTAACGCACTCCAGTCGCCCGGGTTAGTAGGCTCCCACTCTGGTTCTCTCTCTTCTTCTCTGGAAGCACCCTCCACCCCCGGCCCAACCAGTAATTCCCACCCCCTCCTTAAAGGTCCCTCAGGGACCTTCGCACTGCAGAGTCCTTACCGGAAGTGACTGGGCAGACACTTTTCATAGCGCCCAGATCTCAAAGCCCCCAGGTTCGCAGGACTATAGGGGGGGGGTTAAGGAAGAAAGGGGGGGGAAGAGAAGTAGAAAAGGAGGAGGGGCGGGCCTTGGAAGCTTCTGATTGGAAGTTTCTGAACCTGAGGCGGGCGGGCGGCGGACGGACCGCTGTAAGTGTGTGGGGGGGTGGGGGGCGGGGAGTCTACAGTAGGAGCGGGAAGGGAATCTGTTAGGGATGATGATAGTTGGTGACAGCGAGGGGCGGGGTGAGCTAGCTAGGAAAAGACAAGAAAAAAGGAGTAAAAAGTAGGAAACTCCGAGAACGGAAACTTTGAAAGGAATAAAAGGAATAAGAGAGGGTTTACAAGGTGGTGGAGGAAAATATAATCAAGTCTTTATGCTTGATGCTAGAGAAGAACGTTGCACTATTACGATTAAAGGAAAAGACAAAAAAAAATGCTAAAGGAAAAGACCAAAAAAGGCCAAGGAAAAAACGGAGTTTTTGATTCTATGGAGTAACAAAAGTGTTTCTCTTTTATGTCAACGCTACCTCAGGCCGTATAATAAAAAGGAACCAAATTTTCATACTTTCTTCAGTAAGTACTAAAGCTTTAAGTCTGGTTACATTCCTACCAATAGCTTTTCGATGAGGTCTATAGCCACTAAACTTAACAGACAAGCAGTCCCCACCATAATTCCAGGGATCCCCCCCCTCCCCCCCCCCCCCCCCCCCCCCCCCCCCCCGCCTTCCACCCAAACCCATCAGTCATTTGCAGACCGAACAAGCTAACACTCGCTCCCTTCATTTACTGAATGTTTACACAGTTTCAAGGACACACTGTAGAAAAGAGTAATATTGGCAACACACAACGTTTACTTTTTCATTACTGATAAAACAAATACTTTGAAATGTGATTAAATTAGCAAAATATCCTTGTAAATTCTCTACAATTTATGTAATCCTAGGGCATTTTCAGAGGACAGAACACTATGTCCAATAAACTACCTGCCAACCTGTTGATCATTCAGTAAGCATTTATCCAGAGTTGTAATACCAGGCACCTGGCTTTGAAAAGCCAGTGTGTTAAGACAGTCAAAATAAATTTCCAAGCCAGGTGCTGTGGCTCATGCCTGTAATCCTAGCTACTCAGGAGGATGAGATCTGAGGATCATGGTTCAAAGCCAGCCTAGGCAGGAAAGTCCATGACACTCATATCTAATAAACTACTCAGAAAAACAGAAGTAGCGCTGTGGCACACGTGATAGAGTGCTGGCCTTGAGCTGGAGAGCTCAGGAACAATGCCCAGGCCCAGAGTTCAAGCCCCATGACTTACCAAAAAAAAAATATCCATAACACTGTTGTAAAAAAAAAAGTACAAAGTACTCTGGGAACACACAAAACAAGCACTGTGGGGGAAAATGTGAAATAGGATCAGTTTCACAAAGGCAATCCTGGGATTCAAAGTAGTAGCTAACAAAGACGAGGAGGAGCAGGTACACTCTGAGCGATGGAAACAATAACATGGCAAGAAATTGTGTGAAAATGTTTGCTTGGCCCACTTATGGAAAGTATAGTTAGTCTGGAAAGTAGAATATCTGGTTGGAGTTGGGAGTATGGGAGATGACACACAAAAGTGCCTAGGACACCAAACCAAAAACTTTGTGTTGCCTATCCTGTATAGGCAGTGGTAGACAGCAGGAAGACAAGGCTTTTATAAACGAAGTAACAGGCTTAAAGAGTAGTGTAAAAGCTGCTGCTATGGCATAGGTAGTGATGAATAAAAACGGAACACTACAAATAAATCAACTTTATTTAACAAAAATTCTCCCCCCCTCCCTCTCCCTTCCCCTCTCTCTCCCTCTCCTTCCTCCTCTCCTTCTTCCTTTCCCTCCTCTACTCTCTAAGCTCAGACCATTTGCTTACCTTGCAGTCTATACCACTTGGAGTCATACCTTCAGTCCAATCTTTGTTTAAAAAGGCCCACTTGGGGTGTGTGTCTATCTGTCTGTGTGTCTGTCTGTCTGTGTGTATGTATCTGTGTCTGTGTGTTGATTCTGAGGCTTGAAGTCAGGGCCTGGGCACTAACTCTTGAGTTGTTTTGCTCAAAGCTAGCAGTCAAACACTTGAGCCACAGCTCCACTTCTGGTGCTTTTTTGTTCTTGTCCTTAGCTGGAGATCAGAGTCCCACAGGCGAGGTGCTGGTGGCTCTGGCCTGTAATCCTAGCTACTCAGGAGGCTGAGATCTCAGGATCATGGTTTGAACCCAGCCCAGAAAGGTGAGTCCATGGGACTGTCTCCAATTTACCACCAAAAACTGGAAGTGGAGCTGTGGCTCAAAGTGGTAGAGCACTAGCCTTGAGAGAAAAAGCTTAGGAAAAGTGCCCAGGCCCTGAGTTCAAGCCCTAAGACAGAAGACAACAAAAGGAGGAGGTGGTGTCTCACAGACTTTCCTGCCTGTACTGGCTTCAAACCATAATCCTCAAATCTCAGGATTACAGCGCTGAGCTAATCTTAAAGTATTTTTTTTTGTTTAAGATTTACATTTTGTTACACAAAACAACTTAGAAATTACCGGAACTATGTTTCTACTTGGACCCTGGAACCATTATTTTTTGTCAGTGATGGGGCCTGAACTCTGGGCCTGGGCACTGTCCTTCAGCTCTTCAGCTCAAGGATAGCACTCTACCACTTGAGCCACAGCACCACTTCTGAGTTTTTCTGCTTATGTTGTGCTAAGGAATCCAACGAGGGCCTCATGCATGCTGGGCAAACACACTACCACCTTCCCAGCTCCCTAGAACCAATTTTTTTTGGCCGGTCACGGGGCCTGAACTCTGGGCTTGGGCTCTGTCCCTCAGCTCTAAAGCTCAAGGCTAGCACTCTACCACTAGAGCCACAGCTCCACTTCTGGCCTTTTCTGCTTATGTGGTGCTGAGGAATCAAACCCATGGCCTCATGCATGGGAGGCAAGCACTCTACCACTGAGCCACCTTCCCAGCCCCCCTGGAACCAATTTTAAAAGAAAAATCTTCCCACTGTTTCATAAAACATGTTTTATATCACAATTCCACAATTACTGGGGAAGAGGAGCTGTGATTTATTATACCTGTAATACTTAAATACTCAAGAGGCTGAACTCTAAGAATCAAAGTAAAGTCATGACTCAAGTGGTAGAGTACCAGCTGTGAGCAATGCCAAGTAAGCCAGGTATTGGTGGCTCACACCTGTAAGCCTTACTACTAAGGAGGCTGAGATCTAAGGATTGCAGTTCAAAGCTAGTCCAGGCAAGAAAGCCTGTGAGATTCTTTTCTCCAATTAACTACTAAAAAGCTGAAAATGGCATTGTGGTTGAAAAAGGTCGAGCACCAGCCCTGAGCAAAAACAAGATCAGGGGCTGTAACGAGGCCCTGAGTTCAAGCCCCAGGATTGGTACACAAAAAGCCAAGCAAGAAGACAAGGCCCAGAGTTACCAGCACAAAAAAGCATCAACTAGGGACTGGGAATATGGCTTAGTGGTAGAATGCTTGCCTAGCATGCATGAAGCCCTGGGTTAGATTCCTCAGTACCACATAAGCAGAAAAAGCCAGACATGACGCTGTGGCTCAAGTGGTAGAGTACTAGCCTCGAGCAAAATAAGCTCAAGGACAGTGCTGAGGCCCAGAGTTCAAGCTCCAGGACTGGCAAAAAAATCAACTAGGCCAGGTGCTGGTGGCTCATGCCTGTAATCCTAGCTACTCTGGAGACTAAAATTGAGGATCGAGATTCAAAGCCAGCTCCGGGAAGGAAAGTCAGTGAGACTCTTATCTCTAATTAATCAATTGAGGGTTTGGAGGTCTGGCTCAGTGGTAAGAGTATCTGTTAGACCCTGAATCTAATTAATCACTTTAAAAAAAAACCTGAAATGGAGCTGTGGTTCAAAGTGGTAAAGCACTAGCCTTGAGCTAAAATTGCAGGGACAGCACGCAGGCCTTGAGTTCAAGACCCACAACCAACAACAACAACAACAAAAATCAACTAGTTGGGGATAGCTAAAATATGGGTACATACATATTCAATATACCCAGACTTTCTCAACCAGAGTTAAATGCATTCTAAACATTAAATAAAATGCATTTTTTTCAGGGCTGAACCTACTAATAATCAAACTGAAGTGTAGAACACCATACAATTATAGCCATTATCAAACTAAACCAGACATGCACTTAATACATATTTTATTTATAGAATCTTTCATGTTGTGAGTTCTGCACATACCTTCAAAACATTAATTAAAATTTATAGTGTTTCCCAGTGAGGTGTAGTTATTGGTTTTCTTTTAACCAACCTTTATTTTAAAGGTAAACGTATTAATAAAGGGAGAAGTACAACCAAGGAGTAGCCTACCTGATCCATCCCCCAGTATCTGTAGCCACATCATTTAAAAGGTAGAGAGTATGGGCTGGGAAGGTGGCTCAGTGGTAGAGCGATTGCCTTGCATGCATGAGGCCCTGGGTTCAATTCCTCAGCACCACATAAGCAAAAAGAAAAAAGCCGGAAGTGGCGCTGTGGCTCAAGTGGTAGGACGCTAGCCTTGAACTAAAGAGCTGAGGGACAGCACCCAGGCCTAGAGTTTAGGCCCCACAACCGGACCCCCCCCCAAAAAAAAGGTAGAGTATAAGCCAGGTGCTGCTGGCTCACACCTGTAATACTAGCTACTCAGGAGGCTGAGATCTGAGGTCGAGGTTCAAAGCCAGCCTGGGCAGGAAAGTCCGTGACACTCTTATCTCCAATAAATCACAAGTAAAACCGAAGTGGTGCTGTGGCTCAAGTGGTAGAGCACTTGCTTGAGCTGAAGAGCTGAGGAACAGTACCCAGGCCCAGACTTCAAGCCCCACGACCAAAAAAAAAAAAAAAAGGTAGAGTATAAAATATATCCCTTTATCAATCACAGGGATTTTCCCCAGGCTACCTGGTTTTAGTCCTCAGGGATTTGCCCCTAATTACACACTCCTGGAAGCCTTATTATTCAGTATGATTTTCCTTAAAAAGAAAAGACTGTACATGCCGGAGAATTTAGATATGTTT